GGGGCGCCCTGGGGGAGTCGTTCCGTAGCCTCCCTCAGCCGTTTCTTCTTTGAAAAATGTGTTATTTTGTAGTCAGCAGCTTGAATAAATCTGTGAGCGCGCAAAAGTAGAATTGGGGAGTGACTCATTTCGCTGTCGCCTGTTTTTGATGTTGAACAATGTTTTTTTTTCATTCTCTGCCACTTTTGTGTTTGTAGCGCTTTCTGCTCCCCTGCCAATCTGCGCTGACATTTCCCAGCGCCCTGTCTCCGACCTTAGCTTATGTCATCTGTCAGAGTCTCCTGGAAGCTAGTCCTCTGACGGCGACTCCCCGCCTGCCTTGCCCCCCACCCGCGCTTTTTTTGTTCTCTGTACCGATTTCCGTTAGATTCTGCTTGAAATTTAAATAGACCCGGGGTGGAGATGAGCCCTGTCAGGGAGCTCACTGGGGTGCTAAAGAGTTTGGTGCATGTGAAACACCGAACAAATGCTACATGTTATCTTGAGCAAGTTTCTTATTCTTCTGAGTCTTAATTTTCTTTGGTTCAAAATGAAATACTGAAATGGCACGCTTATTTTGAAACTTGAGACCATTGTGAAAAATCCTAGCTGCTCTGATGTGTAGTAAGCTCTCAATAATTAAGCAGCTGTCACTGATTTCCGACACCATCTTGTCATAGGTGCCTTTCTTGTACCCATATTTGTTTTGCATCCAGTTTTTTTTAATTTAGTCATCTGTATTTTCCCTTGGATCTTGTTAGTCTGTGAAGGTATATGGAAGTAGCTGAAGACCTTTGATGTTGAATTAGAATGTGTACCCCGTTTTTACACTCAATGTTTCTGTTTACTTGTTTCTTTGTGGAAATGCTATTTCACTTGTGCACACAACTAGAACCAGTCCTTCACTTTTTTTATGTGAATTTCCTATGATGTTATATATAAAAGATGGTAAAATTTTTATCTTTATTTCTAGAAAAAATGTAGAAGACTTCACTGGACCTAGAGAAAGAAGTGATTTGGGATTCATTACATTTGATATAAGTGTGGATATCCTTTAAGAAAATACTGTATTTCATGCTTTTTCTATAGTTTTGTAAGATTCATGTTGTTTAGTGATTTGGGGAACAGGGTGTATGACTATCTCACATTGAATCAACCAAACTTTGGAAATTCCTGTTTATATTTTCATCAGTAATAGTTCCACATTTATTCTTAGAGAAAACTATAGATTCATGAGTCAGTTGTGTGAACGTACTTTAAATTCTTCATGGAAACATTAAATTGAAATCTACACAAGGAAGTTTGAATTTGCTTAGCAAAAACACAAAAACAGATCATTTCGATGAAAGAAGGAAAATATTACCAGAACTGATTGCTTAGAAGGATTTAATATACATCCCAAAGAATCTGTATTTAGGAAGTAGAGAGAAATGTATGTTTAAAAAGTTAATTGCATTTGTAATATTTTGAAAGGCCAGTCTCAAAATAATTATTGTTAAACCATGTTTGATTTTGTCGTTATAATTTTTATAAGAACTTTTATAAGTACAAGTCTTAACAAGGAAAAGAATTACTTCAATGGAAATGATTTAAATGTTTTCTGTTTATCATAAGTTTCCATCTTTTGATGAACTGATCATTTTTGGCTACTTAAATTTTAGGGTCATAGGTTAGTATATAGTGAGTGTTGTTCATTGCCATATTTGTCCAAATAGTACTTGCCTTGCTGTGACCCCGTGATGAAAGGTGGTTATGGGGAGCGAGCAGTCTGAATTTGCATAAAAAAGTAAGTATCTGAACAGTTAAAGCACATCATATGCTGGGAAATTTACCTGTTGTTCTCTGTACTTTCATGAAATTACTTGTAATTTTTCAGAAATAAATTACCAGATGGAGAAGTAGACTAGGAGTAAGTTCTGAAAGTACCTTTTTAGGAACTAGAATATGCCATCAGAAAAGTCTTACCCTAAACTGTATGTGCATACTTTTAAGTCATGTCATTGAAAAAAATTAAGAGCTCATATTTAGTGTAAAAGAACTATTGTCTTGCCTGCCATAATTATATATTAATCTCACTATTTGTAGTTTATTCGTATTTTCTTCATGCTACTAATACTTGAAATTGTATGTGTTCTTTCAAAGAACTGTTTTAGACATCTCAATTCTAAATGAGTGATTCTTAAGGACTATATATATTTAAAAGTGTAATGTAATAAACTTGTTGCTATTAGCATGTAAATCTACATAATAAAATGACAGCACTTTACATATAATATTTAATAAATCTAAATACCAGTTCAACTTATTTCTCTAGTGGCATCAGTCTTATAGTTAATTCCAGAATGCCCTGTACTCTATGCACTTCATGCATGGAGATGTTTTGATCTTTACTTGCATGTAAACAAAACAGCTTTTACAATTTATACTTGGTTAATTACTTGAACTAGTTCATGTTTGCGTACTATTAAATTTTAATATTACTGATTGGTAATATTTAGAGCTCCATTAGAATGATATATGCTTGAATATTAAATCCTTTTTCTTTTGGTGAAAGGTGGTTATGGTTTTAGATTAGATTTTGGTTTTCTTTTTTTTTTTTTATTAAAATATATCAGCTTATAATCTGCATGAATAGTGGTGGATGCTGTTTTTTCACTTTGGAATGTGCTGGATTTTTCAATGTATTTATATTTTGTATCTGTTCTATTAAATAGTGGTTCAGTGTGCTTCTGGACTATCTCTCCATTGATGTGGATAATTAATCTAAAAATAACTGAGATCTATTTGACAGATGTGTGCTTCTTTATAATTTATATATTCCTTAATTTGTGTACATCTAGAGAATATATTTGATTGGAATGTTAAGCAGTTGTTTCTTTATTTATCAGCAGAATATTCAACAAAAAATAATGTAAGTACATATATTTAAGCATATTTTAATAGTTATTTAAGATGTTATTCTTTGTAAGTATCAACATTACATAGTCAAAAAATCTGTCCTACGCTGCTCAGTAAGAAAATCACAGTCTTTTTTCCCATTCTGCTACCCTCCCTTGAAACCCTCTTTGGGAAAAAAAGAAAAAAAAAACCCTTATATTAAGTACAGTTACAGATTCCCACATAATGAATGTGATCATTGTGTATACCTAAAATGTACCAGTAAACTTAATTAAGGAAAAAAAGATCACAATCTTATGCAGAGGTGGCCCTGTTAAGAAAATTTTATCTCCTTTGGTAGGCTCTCTTGTTTTTTTCTGTGTTTAATACTTCTGTAGCATTGTGGTTTCCAGAATAATATATATGCAAAGTAACCCACAAGTGTAGTATATAAGGAAAACAATTTAGAGCTTCTATTACTGTATTTTTTCAATTTAAAATTAAAAAGGAAAGAACTTAAGCTTTACCAGTAGTTTATAGATGAATACATTAATACCTACGTTTAATTATTAGATGGTGAGTGCCTTCTGTGACATGCAGATAATTGTGAAGAAGAGAAATTCTATAAAGCCTACAGGTTGACTCTATTGCCTAACATTTATTCATTCATTTACATTTGCAAAATATGGTAGTATATACAGTCATTATGTAGATGGATTATTTTGACTTGTTTTAAGTAATACAAAAATGGAAGATAGACTTCAAAGATTCCTGCAAAGAAATTACAGATTGAAGATAATGCTAATAGTACTTTCAAGCACATGTAAGCATAAGAAAGCACATAAGAAAATGATAGATTGGAGACTTCTTGTTTCCAGCTGCTAAGTTATGTTACAAAACTATAAAAACAAATAACCTAGTCTAATAAGTTGGATGAGAAAATTCAGCATTGATCAAGACTTTGAATTTAAAATTCATATTCACTATTGATACTTTACAAATATAGTACATGTTCACTGTAATATATGTACTTTATAAACAAAGATGGATATTTTGAGAGTTTGTGTTCAAATAATTTGTGATCAAAAATTCTTGGAATATACTTCCAGTGGTAAGGCCAGGAAAGATACTACTGAACTCTGTTTCCTATGGAATGAGGAAGTATTATTGCTTCTCAGCTAAATATTCTTTAAGCTAAAGTACTCTTTTTGTACAGTTATGACTTAAAAGCTACTTGTTAATGTAATTGAATCAACGAAACTTGAGGCCTGTATTAACGCTCATTACAAAACTATGCAATCATTTCAAAAGATTATTAAAAATTTTTGAATCACTACAGATTATTTTAAAAAGCGACAGATTTATACGATCTGAAGGGAAATCAGAGTTGCATATGATTTTATTTATGTATTTATTTTTTGCGTGTGATTTTAGAGTCCATTTTAGTACCAAATATTTTTCTTCTTGGAAAGTAGTTCACGTTTCACTATCTTGGTAGTCCTTAGTCGGATTTCTACAACTACTGTCTCTGCTTATTGAGAAATACTGTGTTTTAGAATTGTGTCATATTCTCAAGTCCAAGAGCTTGAGCTGGTCTTTTAAGTTATGAATTGCACTTTGTATGTTTTATAATTAAAAGCCGTTAAATTGTAAGATTAACCTACTAAAACAATTAGGTTGTGGTTGAAAGCTGTTAGTCAAGTAGGACTGAGAGCTTTTGCTATAGGCAGAGTACCTTATATATTGTGACATTTATATAGGATGTTTAGATTCTCTTTTAGTCTTGGTATTGAAGGTATAAAGTGATAGATTTAAAATATGAAACTGAAAAGTGTGGATTTAACATGTTGTTTATAGGTTGTGTTACCAAAACTACTGTGTCATCAATGTATTTGTAATTAAGGGTGGGTCTGTGTTTATTTGAATGATTTTAAAAGGCTAACACAATCAGTTTTATGCATATATTAGAAATTTATTAGAAGTAACACAATCAATTTTATGCACTCAATTAAACATTGATTTGGAACATAAATTTTGTGCCAGGTATGTTGTTAGGCACTAGAAATACTGTGATATGTAAGATTTTTATCCCAGCTCTTCAGGATAGGCAAAACATGAAAAGAAACAAACAGAAAAAGTTGTTCTTGAAGGAAAGAGTAACAGCTACAGATGAAAATATTATTCTACTGGTTTCAACAAATTACTGACATAAATACCAGTTTTACAATGAGTATATCTAATTGTATTTATAATTCTGGTTTACCCTGGTATAACTAGTAAGTTAATACTAATTTGGCATTTGACATGTTATTGCTTTGGTGAAAATAAATATACATAAAAACCATTTAATTTCAACATATTTGATTCTGAGCTCTTCAGTCTTAATAATTATGTGTAGTGTTAGGAAAAAGCTATAAGATGTAGGTTTAAAACGTCTTTTAGAAATAACTACTCCACATTTCAGTAGCGCATTCACTGAGAAAGCTAAAAAGATAACTCGGTAAAAACAATTCTTTGAGACCTAGTAGCAATCACAAATGTGTTTTCTACTTCATAACCCTAGCTTTCAAAATTAAATTTACTTGAAATATCTTGGAATATAGTGGCTTTAAAGAATTGTCTGATGTAGAATTTTGGCATGATAAGACGATGCATGTGAGATTTTAATGTAAAGGGGAAAAAATCGTTATTTTTTTAGTAATTTCTTGATAATGTGAAATCTTAAAAGATTCATGAGCCCTATTCTAGCGTAATCTGGCAGCAGTAAGCCTGTATTAACCGTGATGAATTCGGACTGGCTCATTTATGTTTTCCCAGCACCACCTAAAGTTCCCTCTGAGATAGAAGGTATTAGAAGTTTTGCAGGGAAAAGGAACTTAAAAGAATACTTCCCTGTTACGGATTCTAATTCCTCTGCTCCTCCAAGAGTCTCATGTTTTGGAGCACATATAGATGTAAAACCTTCTGGTAAGTTATGAGGACTCTGTGTAATAGAATTGACCTGCAGCAAGAAAAATGCTCTTTTACCTTTATCTCTTTCTTTGCCTTGTGTAATAGAGTTCACCTAATAAAAGTAATAATTGCCTTTAGGGAAATACTTTTCTCTCCAAGAAAAACCTTGTTCACTGTCCATTACTTGCTATCATTTTGTACACAACAAGATGTTAGTAAATTATTATAGTTATATTTACTCATGTGAAACTTTCTGCTTAGTAATATTTTAATTTGAAGTGATAAGATGCTGTTTCTGATGAGTTATCTAATTTTCATTGTAATGTAGGCCCTGAACCAAGTTGTCCTTTGGGACAAGATTGTTCTGAGAGGTGATAATCCGAGGCTGCTGTTGAAAGACATGAAAACAAAATACTTCTTCTTTGATGATGGAAATGGTCTCAAGTGAGCATTCTTTGTTGTCTTCTACATTTAATAAGAGGTGAAAGGAAGAGAAAGATGTGTTCAAAGAAAAATAGCACGAGTTTAAAAGGCAAATTAGATGAGAAGTATTTACATAGACCTGGGCTTGAAGATTGTAAAGAAACACAAATTGGGATCTAAAATAAGTACGGTAATTAGTTATTTTTCAGTGTGTGAAATATAATAGCCAAAATAATAAGGCCTACAGCTGCTGTGTGTCTTGGGTCTTGGGCTTTCTGATAAGTGACGAGGTTGTGACTGGCAGAACTCATCTTTCTGAACATGAATCTGAAATCTGAATGAAAAAGCAGTGAATTGGGTCTAGGAGTTATACTGAGGTTGGTTCTTTCCTTAACTTTCAATTTATTTTTTACAAAATGGGAAAAATGGAAGGATTGATCTCTTAGGGAATTGTTACCTCTTAATGTTGTGTGTGTATGAGAATTTTAGAAGAGACCCGTTTTGACCAGACCAAACCTCTGTTACCACATGAAAATTTCAAGATAAATTTTGATGTGTTTAGGGTTTGCACCTCTAAATGACAGAATTACGTTTCATGTTATTGTTTCTGATTCCTAGTACAAGTCTGTTCACTGTGCATTACATGTGTAAACTTCTTGGTTCATAGTTCTATTAACTACAACTGTGAGTTTAGGTGGTCATTAAGAGATGCTGTGAACAAATGCTGGTGTCTTCAGCACTCTCCTTGGAGTTTAGATAACATGAGAATATAGTTCTTCTTGCAGACTAGCATTCCTATTAGGAATAGCTAGTTACAAATACAATATTTGATGCCTCATTGCTTGATTTAAAATTCTTTTATTGAAGTAGAAGTGTTTCTGCTGACTTCTGTTTATTCTGTCTCTCTATAGGGGAAACAGGAATGTCACTTTGACTCTATCTTGGAACGTTGTACCAAATGCTGGAATTCTACCTCTCGTGACAGGATCTGGACATGTATCTGTCCCATTTCCAGATACATATGAAATAACAAAGAGCTATTAAATTATTCTGAACTTGAAACAGCATATTTTTATACTTAATGAATTATATATCATTTGTCTCTATCTTCCCTTGCTTCTTTTTCTTTCTTTTTTTGGGGGGCAGTGTTGTTACTTTTTTTGGTGTAAGAATGTCAGAGACACATTTGAAGGAAAGGGTTAAACAGTTTTACAGACAGCAGTGACAGAGTCACCAGAGCTGAGTATTATAAAAATAAGACAAATACATAAAAGGGATTTGTAAAAAAGAGTATGGATTTCAAGTATTCACTGTATTTCCATTTTCTTTATGGAAGATAAAATGAGCATGAGGGTTATTAAAAACTTTCAGGTGCCTGTAGAGTCATAAGAACTCTGAATTTTATGATTTGTATTCATGAAAGCTCATGTTGGGTGTGACTTAGATACAGACATTCTTTTGTATCTTTTAGAGTATGATAGCTTACAGGAAAAATTAGTACAGTTATTCCTTATAAGTCTGGTTTACAAAACGCCAAAAGAGATAGAATTTTATTTCATTTGTCTTAAGAATACCCACAAAGTTTGTTTTTCTTAAATGACTAGCAGCTTTCTGTGCTTAAAGAATGAATACCTCTTTATATGCTGTAAGTCGTTCACACTCATGTTAAAATCTCAAGTCAAACAAATGTGTGTCTTTCAATGCTTTTACTAAAAAACTTTCTTTGTATATCTTTGTATAACTTTAGCATTGCCATTGAACATTGAAAGTGTTTGCATGGTTTACCGTCTGATTTGAGCTTGTGCTTGTAAGCATGCCAAGTGCCACTAAGTGGCAATCATTTACAGCTCCCTCTAGGTCCGCATTTTAATAATTTTTGAGGTAGTAATAATTGTATTGTGGTTTTCCATTTACAAAGCTCTCTCATGTATTTTGGGTTATGTTGTGCTCAGTAATTAGTGAGGTAAATAGTGCCAATGTGAGCTCATTGCTGATAAAAAAATCTAAAACCCAGTTTATTGAATTGCTCCAAAGTAAGTAACTAAGAAGGAATGCAGTTAAAATTTGAATGAAAAGCTTCTAATTGTCTAAGCTTATTCTTTACCTTTTACCTCAGTTTATTGATTAATTACAGTTTCCTTACAATTTTCATAATGTTTTCTTGTTCCCTGGACACCTGTCACTTCTCGAAGTGATTTCTTACCTATACAGAAGTGACTAATTTTAAAGCCACCACCAGCTCAGTTAGCAGTAGCATCTCATTTACTTCATATATTAGTTTTACTTACATTAAAGTATAAAGAAAATTTAAATGTATGTAAAAGTAATATGAGGTTAACACGTAATATTTGATTGGCTATGTGATATTTCTTACAACTTTTTTCTTTAGTGGGCAAATAAGCACCTCAAAGATTGCAACTGTGGGTACCCTTAAAAGGAAGACCAAACACTGTAGTTACACTGTCAGCAGCAATGAAAAGGGCTAAAATTTTATAAAAAGTTCAAATTGACTAGTATTTGTTTTATTTACCTCATATGAAATACATCATTATTTAGTTACGTTCATTTAAGAACTGTTGTATGTAGTTGTATGATTCATGTAAAAATGTGCATATGAATTTCTCAAACTGGCAAAAAAGTCAGAGGTATAGCATTAGGAATAATAGACTGAGTTTGGCTGCCCAGCTTTTTGATTAAACTTTATGATCTTTGTTTCTCTATCTGTAAGATGACAGAATTAGACAGGTTAACTTAAGTGGTGATCCTTTTAAACCACACAATTTTGTAAGATTTATCGGTTCAGCAAAGAGATTGAACAAAAAAGCACCTTAGTGATATAAAGATAGGAGTATGATTGAAGGACTAATGCACAATTCATACTGACCTGACTTTATTTGTTACATTTTACTTCATTTACTTTGTTACATTTAACTTCATTTACTTTGTACAAACACTGGATATGTAAACTTAAAATCTATAGGTGTCATAGCTTACAAAAATGGGGTATGTTCTCATTAAGAAATTTATGATAAGCCAGCAGTTTTAATCAGACCTGAGTTCCAGTTTAACAGTTCATTATGGTAAGTGGATCTGTTAGTCTAGAGATTAATGTTGATATTTAAATTGTAGTTTGTTTATTTGGCAAGACCATATTTTTAGAGTTGGGTGAGAAAGAGAAGTAGGAAGGGCCAGTTAGCACAGTGTGGATAAAAGTTTTCATTTTTACTTAAGGGAAACTGCTCAGGATAAGTGCTTCGTCATAAGAATAAGGAACCTGTGTCTCAGGAAATCATTTTTGGTGTGTGTAGCTTTATTAGTCTACCATAATGCTACATTTTGAAAAATTGACCATATTCTTAGTTGTAAAGAAGTCTCACTAAATCTCTACAAAGATACAAGGCTTCAGACTAATCACACACTCAACATGACCAGAAATGTCTGAGCCCAGAGATGATTCTGAAAAGAGAATAATTGCAAGACACTTAGTAAATACAGTTAGAAATGAGTTCATTTTAATGCATAGTGCCAACATATCCTTTTCTGTAGCAGTTTAACCTAGGCAAGAGCTAAATCAGCATCCTTTATTCCTGTAATTGATTATATTTTAGTTTCTGCTGAAAGGAAAACAAAAAGCTTCAGAAATTCCCAAGGGTAAAATAGAAAAACAGATACTTTGATTTTTCTGAATGAGTTTGCTTTGGTAGGTTTCGACAGCCAGTTAACCTTAGAAATGGGCTATAAGAATCTAAAGCTTTGAATTTTGGAGCTATAGGTTAATGGAGGACTTTTAAAAAATACTTCAATCAACAGGTACTACCCTTAGGGAAGGGGGAACCATAAACTGTGGACTTTGGTTGCAGCCACACACTTACCCTTTTCAGAAACTTTCCTTTCTCTTAACAGAGGGCTTCTGTACATTACATGAGACTGCCAGAAGTTTAGAGACCACTTTCAAAAAGTTATGTGTTTTTGATGTAATTTGATAAGTTGTTTACTTCAAAAGTACAGATTCACGAGAAACATTCATGAGAATATTGACTATAAGGATTTTCTTAGTTGCAATATTCAGCATTTTTCTAATGAAAATGAATTTTGTTTACAAGTAAAAGGCTTTCAAATTTAAGATTTTTATGTGAACTGCTGATCAAAAAGTAAAAGGAAGAAACCAAGTCTAGTTAGGTGTGCAAGCCTACAATCTCAGCATTGGCGAGGCTGAGTCAGGAGGATCACTTAAATATGAGGCTAGCCTGAGTGACACAGTGAACTCAATGCCAACCTGAGCTACAAAGTGAGACCTTCCCCCCCGCAAAAAAAAAAAAAAAAAAAAACCAGAAAGTCTTGTTTTGTTTTTTGGGAGGCTGAAGGAGGGGGAAAGGTTAATTATGCTTAAAGTATCCAGATACTGTACTCCTAGACTGTAAGCCCTTTTAAGGGCCGGCTGTCAGATTTATCTTTGTATCTTCCCCAGCACCTAGCATAGTGCCTTGCACATGATAGGTACCCAGTAAATGACGATGAAGTCACTGTTTCTAATGTGACTAAACCATGGGGAATCTGTAACTACTACTCCATTTTGTAAAGTACTGCTTTTTCAGTATTGAGCTCTTGGTGGTATTAGCTCTGACTTCCTTTTTCCCTTCAAATTCAGTTGGGCTGTCCAGTAAAGGTAAATGGTACTCTTGTTCCAGGTGCTGTAACTTTTGTCCGAAGGAGAAAGCTAAGTGATAGCTGTTCCAGATATGATTGATGTGTACATTTATTTGCTTAAAACTGGAAAGTTCTGCTGGACCTGACCACCGCCCTCAACAAAACAAAACAGAACCCACCACTCAAGATGCTTGTTAAAGTGTAACTCTAGAAGAAAGGGATAAAATAAGCACTTGACTGTTTGAAAGCCCAGTTGCTTGCCGCTGGTCTTGGGCACATCAGCTCTGACTTGGCTTAGTGTTGGCACACATCTGGGTTATCTGGCTGCACTGACCTTACTGGTTGTCTTACTCTTATCTTATTCTTCCTGCGTCTCAGGAATTTCTCAGAAGGCACATTTGCCAGTGAATTGAACCAGAACAAAAATCTTGGGAACCGTAGAAAAACGATGTTCGAGGGTAAACACTTAACCCAAGTTTTTTCTGTCAAGGGTTTTAAGAGGTCAGCTAGATTCTGGTTTTGTTTCCTTAAAGTATGGGGAATCCTATGCCTTCCCTTTAGCCCTTAAATCTTCCCCTTGTCCTTTTACCCCTAGATGAAGTATTAAAGCAAGAATTCTGATTTCAGTCGACAGTTGCTTCATGAGTTAGTACTGCAGGGTTTTCATGTGTGTAAACACATCCTATTTGTCCATCTGTGAGTCTAGTTGGACATGGGCATCTGGGAATTGCAAAGTAGCGGAGCTAATGATAGAAGTATGTATTTGAAGCAAAAGCGTCTCTGAGCCTTCTAAAGGCTGTCATTTCTGTGCCACTGTGCTCCCTTTCTTTGAGACTTGAAAGTCTGTAACCTCTGTGGTAAAAGAATTAGTGCAGAGCGGTAAGGAATCTGTTGACTGAGGGGAGGAGAGTTCTGAGGTGAGGTGTGCCGCGAAGGCTGAAGCAGCCAGTTTAAAGGGCATAGGATGGTGAGAAGTCTTCCCAAGGTTGTGTGGGCACCTCCCAGCTTTGTAAAGTCTGGGGGCTTGTCCTGAGAGACACTAGGAGAAATACAGCTAGAAAGGAACCAGGAACATTGTAATTTTAATATCAGACTTAAGAAAAACTGCAGCTTTAGCACACAAAGGTACCTAAGGTTATAATGCCCTTTTCTAGGAAACTCCAAAAACATTGGCAAAGGTTTTAAAGATTCTATACCTGTAAATTGGGTGCTTTGGCTTTCCTCCTGAGTGTACTTTTTTCTGCCTAATAAACCTCTATGCCTCATAACAAATCTTAAGTTGTTTCTGTGATGATAGTCAAGGAACCTGCAACCTACCCCATGGATGGGGTGATGTCAGGTCCCCATCTCTCAGGGGTCCTTGGATTGCATTCAGTCCACTGCTGCAGTTTCTGTGGCAGCTGTAAGAATCCTATAAATTCTTAATCCTGTATGCAGAGACAAACCAGGCTTGTTAATCGGGTTGGATCGTACTTTTATTAAAAGAGTTTACAAGTGGATTTTATAAGGAGAAATACTGCTGCTTGAGCATTTGAAAGCCCAGTTAAATATTCCATACTGTAATAGGCAGCATCACACTTGCATTAGTTTAAGAAAACAAAAATTTATTTCTGCAAAAATAAGCCAGTGTAGTGGTTCAGGCAACTTTCCACATGTGTGACTGCAGGCCCAGGTGCCTTGCAGCTTGTGACCATCCCAAGGTTTACAGGCTCCTGCCCTCAAGTTGCATGGTGGAGGTTGGAAGGAAAGAGCAGGCTCACCTGCTTGATTACATCACTCATTCTGAGGGCGAGAATGAACTGCACAATCCTGTGTGATTTAAGGGGCACCTAGGAAATAGTCACTTCTCAGAAACAACCCTATGTTAGAAGCATGAGTCTTGCATAGATAGTCATAGTATCACGTTTATGCTCACTTGGGTTAAACTGACCAGCTCTCTGCAGTACCTCAGCAGGGAGTGACCACTTGATCATCATGATCATTGTAAATATTTTTTTCTTCATCTTGTCTGTAGCACAAACACTAAGGATTTTCTGAAGGTAAAAGTAATAGGTTTTACAGGTTAAGGCGCTAACATTTGAAAGTTAACTTTGAGAACTAAACTTTCTAACCTCATACACATCATCGAGAATTTTTTTCCCCATTTATAGTATGTTCTGTCACTGCAATTCAATATGCAAAGGGTTTCATACTAAACACTGCTCAAAGTGTTTGTCCAGCTTCAATCTAGAGTTGCCAATGATATATGTTTGTAGTTGGAAGAGATACCTAGAGTGAAATGTTAGGCACAGGTAATTTTTAACATTTTAAGACTCATCAAAACTGCTGGGATCACCACAGCTTTGCATAAGCAGAAATGAAATTTAACTAAAAGTGTGCTGCCATATCACACAGTACCCTAGTCACTGTTAACTTCCTCAGTATCCTAAAACTTGCCTAGCAAATTCCTGCTGCAAGGTTTTTGGACTGGCTTCCTCTTAATGCAACATTGCTTCCTGACTGTAGCATTATTTGTTATAGTTCCTGTTGCTACCTAAGATTTTATACATTCATTATATGCATAAGTTCATTGACAGTTTAATAATAGGAATGCCTGTGTTTCTTGTTTCCTTAAAAGAATTTGTTGAGCAAATTGAATTAATACAAAGCAAGAAAATGGTTGTGTCATTAATGAATTTTATTTATAGTCAACCCTAGGTATTCTTGAGAGACTAGTTCCTGAGCACTTACTACAGATAACAAATCTGAGAATGCTCAAGTCCTTCATATAAAATGGTGCAATGTTTGCATATAACCTGTGCATATACTCAGATTTTAAATAATAGATTATTTTTAATGCATAATGAAGTGTAAATGCTACGTAAAGGATTGTTACTTAAGCCAGGCATAGTGGTGCATGTCTGTAATCCCAGCATTCAGGAGGCTGAGGCAAGAGGATTGCTGCAGGTTTGAGGCTAGCCTGGGCTATATAGCAAAAGTCTGTCAAAACAAACAAAACCAGACAAACTCCTAAAGAATTGTTATTTAGAGTAGAATAACAACATATGTATGTGTTTAGTACAGATGCAGCCATTGTAGGTCTAACAGTATAGCCCAGGTCAGCTACAATGTAACTTCTTTTCAAGTATTTTTTAACTGCACTTGGTTGGATCAGCAGATGCAGAATCTATAGAGATGATAGGCTGTCTATATTGGTTTATGCAGGTGTTTTGTGTAAGCATTTTAGAACATTCCATAATTTTCTGAGAATAAAAGAATTGATTTTTACTATCAACTTTTGGTACTATAGTGATAATGGTAGGAAGAGAACATAATTTATATAAGAAAAGGATTAGACAGGGCAGTCATAAATGCTTATGAGTTTGTCTTTTGCTTTATTACATTTCTAATGGGTAAATGGAAATATAGAAAGGTTCATGAGTTATTTGTAATAGTTTAATTGATTATAAATAAGCACTCCTGTAGCTACTACCCAAATCAATAATTAGAACAGTGGAGCAATACCACAAGCCTCCCTCCCTTCACATACCTCCTCTGCATTGTCTGCCTTTGTGGGGGTGATTTTCTTGCTTTCCTTAAACATGTTCAGCCTGTGCTGCATCACTTCCCTTGTTTTTGCCGCCTTATGAACAGCTGGAACAGGTTGGTGGCTTATGAAAACAAGCACATATTTTATCAGTGATGGCTGATGGTTCAATTCTCTTCATTCTAGAATTCAGGTAGAAAGACGTTCCTTTTCAAACACAAAAGACCAGGAGATTTGATGGAAACTGCCGGAGCCTCTGCTTGTGACAAGCAGCATGTCTGCCCATTTAATTGGCTCAAACATGTCACATAGCAAAACCAAAGCCATGCAGAAACAGTACAAGTCAAAGGACACTTTGTAACCTTAAAGGGAAAGAGGAGAGGATTCTTGGGAGGGTGATAAAATCCATCACACATTTCCTGGCAGTATAGTTTAGTTTTTCTTGGTGTTGACATAAGTGGAAATGAGTTTTTTGTCTTTTGCTATTTTGGCTGAGCATTAAATTTAAAAGGTTCTTTTTGTTTTTGCATAAAGCTATAATTTGTTCTTTTTTTCATTGTGTATTATCCATTGTTACATAGTTATCCATGGGAGGTATAATTTATCAGTCTATTGATAGACTTACTGTGTATGTTCTTGTGTAAATGATCGGGTATGTGTGTTTTCAATATTTCTCAAGGAAAGAGATCTTCAGCTCTTTGCTTGCATAGTAAATATATATTTATATGTATATATAGAACTATTACACATTGGCAATTTTGTCTAAAAAATAAAGAATATGATATTTGGTGTAAATATTAACACTGTAAGCTGCAAATCTGTTACACTGATTTTTTTGCATTACACTTAAAAAATGTACATAAATGTTTCCAGAGAAACTTAAATACCATAGTGATTGGATACTCAAAAATGTTCATTTTCAAAGAGCCATTTCTAATGTTTAAAAGTTTTACTATCTCTTTCAAATCATATTTACATTCCTATTCATCAACAAAATTTTATCCTAATGGGTAGTAGTATAGAAAGTACTGTTTTCAAGTCTTTTATTTGATATCTGTACCATGCTTCTTGACAGCAAAAACATGTATGTAAATCAGAATTACCTCTTAAAATTTTCTGTCAGCCCAGTGTTTGAAGTGTTTAAAATATACCTTG